ACAGATTCCGAATCTGATGCTGTCTAAGTGTTGGCAGAGAATCACCACAAGAGATTCATAAGCTAAAAGTGCATCTCACAAACTCTCCTTAGACCCGGGTTACGATGACCTGTATAATTTAATCGGTGCTCTAGGGCAAGTAAGAGTATCGTTCATTCATTCACACAGGCGCGTCCGCGTGACGGTGTTTATCGATCGTTCGGACCTGACATCTCACTCCACTCACCCGCCTACCAGTCAATCGCGAATATCGTTCACCCGTTAATGCTACAGAGCCCATCGATAGACCGAATGACCGCGGCTTTGGTGACCACTGTAGAAAAAATGACCACATTCGAGTGCCTCACATTTCAGGTCAGTGCCCCACAGAATAACAAAAGAAAACTTCGCAGGTTAGAAACATGGATTTTTAGCAAAATCATAAATCGTCGTCTGTCTCAGTTTGGCTCTCCGTTGGAAATCAACAAACGCGCTGTTTAAATCAATGGTACACTCCAATAATCGGCCCGAACACCGAGCATTAGCCAAGGCAAAGAGCTTCAATTGATCCAATAACTTCTGCGCCTCTCGGATTGAGATAACGTCCGGCGCATTCACTGCATTCACATTCCTCATCTTCTTTGCGATGCTTAGCTTGATGCGAAACGAACTCATCTAATAACTAAGAGGAGACTTGATACAAAAATTTTAAACAACCCACTTCTTCCTCATCATATTCCAAACAGGCTATTTCTTCTTCAAAAAGTCGGTCATCAATAGACACATGTGTAAAGTCCTCGATCAGATCGCATTTATCCTCTGATGGCTGCATCACCGGCTGAATCAATGTGGATTTGAACCCTGCTTTCATGAAAGCGTTGATCAGTACGTCTGGGTGCACAGACACCCAAGCTTTCTTGACCAGATGCATGGCCATGAGAATGTTCACCTCGGCTTTCATGATACATTGCTCATCTTCGATCAAAGACAAAACATATTCCAGTAAATGTTTCCGAAACGATCATTTGAAAGACCAATTTGACATTGGAAAATACTGCGGCTTGGTTATGGCAAGAGATGTTGTCCATAAATAGTAAAATAGATCGTCTTTGAGAAACCATTTTTCGGTTGGCATCGGATAGCCAACTGTGAAATAACGCAGAGTTCATCCATGTGTTCTTTGAGTAATTATAACTGCATGGAAGGCTTTTTCTATCTACATCCCGGAGGCATCGTGGAGTTTGAAACTTTCCAATCACCAACGGTGATAACTTTTCTCCAGTCATGCTCCCACAAAGCAGTAAAGTGACTCTCTCTTTGGATTTCTTGGACCCAGAAACTGTCTTTCCTTTCAGACTCAATGTTCTTTCTGGGAGCTGCCTGTAATACAAAGCTGTTTCATCTACATTGAAAATATCACAGTCAGCATATCCTTGTATCAACTGCGGTAGCCCCGCTCGAAACTCATCCACTGCATCACGTGGTACCGCTAGACTTTCCCCACAGACCTATAAATCAATGCATATAAGTTGCTTGTTTCTTACTTTGTACGATTGAATACCATATCTGTCTGACCAGGAGCGAAACCAACCTTTGGAAGCCTTGAATTCATTATGATGCAATCTTTGTGCTATCTGGATTGCCTTCTTACGTACGATGCTCTCCACCATAAGGAACTCTCCGTGCTTTTCCGTCATAGCGGTAAACCAAGCCAAAGTTGTGTCATTCACTGCCTTGAACTTTTGGTTGGTTTTCAGGTGGCACATTCCCTCAGATGCGCCAGCGTTCAAAAATTCCCCGATAGTCGTTCGATGGGATACAACATTGTAGACAGTTTTTCGTGAAATTCCAAGTGACTTGGCTACGGATCTCTGAGTTGCACCTGGCCGTTTCAGCATTTCCAACACATTCTGCTTCTCTCTGAACGATAGGCGCTTGCATATTTTGACGTCAAATGATAGTTTCCGATTACTTGCATCGGTGTGACTTGCTCACTAGGATTATCCAATCAGTGAACAGCGTCACACTAGATGCAACGCCTTTGGTTGAGTGCGACATTTCAGGGTGGATGGTCAATGGTCCTCCCGAACCTCGGTCGACGACCAAGTGAGTACGTATCAGGAACTGCAACATATTGTGGGGTGCGACATCGCATAGTCAGAAACTACGTTACTAGGCATACGATTGGTTTGGGTTTTCGAAAAAGTAGGAAGATATTGGAAAATGTGACTTCTCAGGGGTGCGACATAGCAGGAGATTGACTGTACTAATAGCGGAAGTGGAATCCAAGTTTACGGCGCTGTTTGCAATCGAGTTCACTCCAAAAAGTGGTGTTCGACAGGGTTCCCTCTCCCGCTGTTCCTATTCAACTTTGCGTATGTATATGCATTGCGAGTTTGGCAGCGATTAGTGGAGTTCGCTTCTCTGTATTCCGCTGTACGATGATGATTGTCATAAATTTAATTCTCGTAATAGCTCTATCCTCGTGCGAGGATAGTGGTATCGATTTACTCCCAGGTGGCAAACTGTCTGATCTCCAGTATGCAGACGACATTGTGCTACTAAGTCAAGATCCAGGTTGCAAGTTGCAAGCTTTTCTGAATAGTTTGAGTACTAGTGTAGCCATGTTCGGTATGCGTTTGGCACCTTCGAAGTGCAAAATGTTGTTACAAGATTGGTTTGGTCCAGCCCCCAACCTCACTCTGACTGGGGAAGTAGATTAATTTTGCAACATGGGTAGCTATATCTCACCTGGCGGACGCATCACAGATGAAGTGTCGGTGCGCATACAAAAAGCTCGGTTGGCATTTGCCAACGTGATACATCTGTGGTGCCGCCGCCATATCCGGCTGTCTGTGGAGGGATCTCGCAATCTACCGCGGAATAATTTTGCTTCCAGTCGTCATTAAATATTAGCTTCCGTCATATTTCGAAGTCCTACGTCCTTCATGGAGATAAATATCCGTGGAAAGCAACCGGGTCTCCGACCAGGTCGTAGTTGTATCGACCAAATCTTCACGTTGCGTCAAGTCCGACGAGTTGCCCACAGTCTTCGCATTTTTGGTTGAGCCAAATATACAACCTCTGAATGTCTGCCTTCCATGTTCTGGTGTTCGGGATTCGCACTCCTTTCGCGGGGCTTCCTTCCGGTTCTATTTGGATTTACGTTGGGTACCGCAGTCGGGCGTATTCGTGTACTGTTCACTCGATCGCTGGGTCGTACTGTTTTGTTCTTGATCATTACTGCCGCACGTATTGTTTGGTCCACGGTTCACACTAATCCGGTCGTGTCGTCTATCCCAACGTTACAACAGTTCGCCACTCAGATTCATAGGGCTGATGCTTCTGACACTATTCCTACTGGGCTCTCTCCTTCTGCTGTTCATCCCAAAGAGTAATATTCTTTTCTTTTCCATGTTGCGTATTTCTCTCACCCCAAAGTCGGCGGGTTGACTTCGAGATGCATTTACCTCATAAACAAGCTATTTCATTTGTGGATAGATCTGCAATCTGTGGCTATCTGTTGAAAATGACTCTTGTCGGCGTTTGTCACTACCTCTTCAGAGGCGTGGGCAAATACCTCATGAGCATTTTTAACGCTTGTTTTGTCATCAAAAATTACTTGATACAGGGCGTGCAAGCACACTGTTAAGTTTGTTCAATTTCGGTTTCAGTAAATAAGAATAATTCCTCTTTGCACACTCTGAGGCTTGTTATCTTTTAACCAACAGGACAGTGAAAGTTTGAAAAAATCTGCGAGTCAGCAAGCAGCTGAACTTAAGTCTGCTAATACTCGGTTGCACCGGGCCGCGGAAGAGACGGAACGTTTGAAAGCGGAGCTGGACAAAGTGCGCAGTTCTGCTCGAGAGGGAACTGATTCGTTAAAACATACCATTGAAAAACTGACCACAGATAATCGCCGGTTGGAACGCCAAAAAGCAGAACTGCTCAGCGCATTTAAAAAGCAAATGAGATTAATTGATGTCTTGCGACGTCAAAAAGTACGTTCCGATTATCTAATTTAATTTATTCTTTCATGTAATGCCGTCAGGCGCCGTGTTACGCACAGACAGTTGAAAGCTGTTTTTACTACGCGCCATTATTTTAAGGAAAGGGGAACGGGTAAATCCCGCAGTCACGAGGATCTAATGTTCACTCATGATAACCAACAATTTAAGCATTTAAACTGTAGACTAAATAAGGCTCTAGTGATTAGGTGTTACTCGCATTTTATGTGGATCATTTTGTTGCATGCACAGCAAAGCATTGCGTTTTTTTGAGATCCTGGAGCATAGTACTGAATTCCTTATTGTAGTCGCAAAATAGAAAAACTGATGAGTTTCGTGATCACCTATCCAGAGTCTTTCGTGAAAACATGAGTGCCCTTTTCCAGATGACATGCTCCTCCTTTCTGTGTGACCCTATTCTTCATTTCGTTCTTTCAGTACACAGTTCCTCAATTCGGCACTGGATTTGTGGGTTCATCACATAAGGATGTGCGTCGTATGGATCACTAGTCAAAAAGAAAATCTTCTTTCAGTCGGAAAGCTCACATCATAGAATAATGACAGTTAATTTTACCTTGAGATCCGATGTCGGACTCACAGTGACCACATAACTGTTTGTTCGTTCATCCATTCATTGATATTACCCGGTATGAGGTGAATGGGCCAAAGGTATTTTAGCGCCTGTGTCCATTGTTTTTTTTTTTTACGAACAGACGGGGCAGGGCGACCGAATTCCTGCCCCATCCGCTATGGCCAGAATACGACAACTCACCTGCATTATTAGTTAACCCCATTAGCGGGTGACTTGATGATTCCAGTGTTCATCCGCTCAGGTGTCCACAAATCCGTTTGGACTGTCACGTGACCGTGTGGTGCATGTTTTCTCACGGTGGAAAGTAAATGGGTATACAGAGAATGAGATGGAAGAATCAGATATTTTCTCTTCAATCGCATACATGACTGTTCGGAACGTGAATAAAACATGTGTTTGGCTGTGGTTTTACTGCTTACATTTGATTGTCTTCTTTATATTACTACTTCTAACCTATTCCTAGTCTTGAATGCATACCGGACTCCTAGTCTTGATCTTCTTCAAAATGCTTTCATCGTACTGAACAATGTTATTCAATACCGATAACCTGTGTAGCAAGCTCGTAGAAATCTAAGCTCCGCTTTACATAAATATATAGTCACACAAATAGCACAGTTTGGCTCAAAACGTTACCATGAACAATTTGCAACTCATTGTATGCCTCCATTCTCTCTCTCTAAATATTTACAATACCGATTTGAGTACAATCATAATACCAACACGACAAGAATGAAAATGATAGGGGTGGGGATAATACAATACCATTTCGGACTACAGCTTTGCGATGGCATTTGTCATGTATAAACAGTATGTGCTTGCGCACAATTGAACTGTTCTCTGATTCGTATGATTTCTCGAAACATTTCAGATGTTACTCGAAGCTTCCAAGTGTCTTCAACTCACAGAAGAAGATTTCCTGAAGTCTTTGGATTGGCAAACCCAATAGTTGTACCGTTTTGTGACCGCATTGAATTTCAACCGGAATTCATATCACGCTCCAACTAATCTCGGTTTCCGTACATTCCGCATTTTAGCCCCGATTTCAGCGCACACTAGTTTTTTTCTCTTCTCACGTATTTTTCTTGTTATCCTGTTTGCACGTTTATATTTCTGTTTTTGTTTCACTTTTGTTAGACCGAATATAATTTGGACAAACGTACCGTCAAATTCTCACTCCACCATTCATTGATTGTTTTCAACTATTCACGTTCAATGGCTTGCCACGCAATAGCTTACTTGGTAAGGATGCTGTCTGTGCTTACACTTGTTTTCTCGTTTCGGGGATTTTGTTGTTTGAAGCAGATTGGACGTATTCGGTCACTGCTTTGGGATTGAGAAGCTTTCCTTCGCGTCGATCTGAGGGACAGTGAAACTGTGGTTGTTCATTTCCGTCGAGATCTATCATCAAGCTTACACATAGTGCAATTATCGTCCTACTTACAATTCGGTTATCGTTGTACACTGTCTGTATCTTCGTGTTTCACTCCCTGCACGGAGGTCCCAACACCCGTTGACAGTGATTCAATGCAGTGTTGTAGTGACTTTTTCTTCTCATATCCGTGTTCAATAGCAATCACATCGCATTTCCATCTTGCGGATGGAATATCATGTCGAGTATCATCTGTCTAGTCTCAAAATTCACTGAAATTTTGATTTGATTGCATTGTTACACCGGGTTTGTTTGACGTAATTAAAACCCAATTAACCAACTAGTTGCCCTCTACGTATTGATGGACTAGGCTGGTGAATTTCCACCATAGGCGGTCAAATCCAACCGCGTGACTAAGGGCTGCACTACGTATTGTTTGTCAATATATCGCCAGTTGGTTTATTATGGCCTAGATATCAATACCTTGATCACCTAATTGAGTCGTGTTCGGACTTCGGATCTGTGTCCTCAAAAACGTTATATTTTGTTTCAATTATCGAAGCTAACGATTTTGCTTACCGTAGTTGCACAGTGGTCCATCACATTCATATCCGTTCTGCTCTGTGATACATTGCAGTTTCCACAGTGACGTCCGTAATTTCTTTACTTTTTCTATGCACCATGCTTTCTCGTCTTTTATTGCGCTGTCTCATTGTCGGACTGCATTCATCCTTTTTTTCTTGTGCGAATAAATTGAAGAGCAGCGATCGTGAACGGTTTTCTCCAATTAGCTGTTTGTTTCAGTCCATAACCTGTTAATCTGCTAATCTTCCGATATGCTCGTGAGGCCTAAACATGAGATATCATTTGGCCACCACCTCACGCAGTGGTGTTTTCTGTTTCATCCACTCGATTGCGTAGTCTAAAACCAATGTGGTTAGTCATTATCCCTCTAAGCTTGATGTTAGTAGTCTGGCTTGCAGAGTACCCGGTTGACTAAAATTTTACTATTTTCTGAATTCATTTCTAGGAGACAGAGATCGGATCGCTTNTACCGCTGTTTCTCAAGACTGCACGCCCTCAACGCAACGATCCACTTTTCGACTCCCACCATAAATGTTGGTGGCCAAATAGTTTAAATTGCTTTCAGGAGCGTGCTCGAAACCTTAATGTCTAGAGCTGAAATCGTATGATTTCCATCCAACTTTGGTAGCAGGTTGCTGTCATCTGACTCGATACTACGCCTATCCTGTTGGAGTGTTACGTAGTTCAGGCGCCCCAGGTTTCAGAACCTTTGTATCCGGTTCGCTCAACTGAATACTAGGTCCTCATGAATATAGGTCTTTCGGCTGACTGGTGAAGAGAGAGTCAAGCGAAAAGTTGAGAAATTAAGTACACAATCAAAATACAGGTTCTGAGAACAAAGTAACTAGGTCTTCGTAGAGAGTGAATGAGTGCGCAAACTAACGCATGGTCGGATTCGAGGGACGTGCTCCAGTACGATCGGCAATATTGTATGCAACCCCGCCATTTGTAGCTTATAGCGATGTAGTGGATCTGCGTCTGACTGTGATTCGAGGAGGGGGGAGGCCAGATGGCGTACAGACATTTGGAGCGCATGAATTTCGTACTGGTGAGGAATAGGCGGTGGTCGGAACTCGGAGCCAACAGCCGTGCTCGGTTTCCGACCGACAGGAATCTAGTCCGAAAGGACCTACCATATGCGCCTCACTCGAAGTCAGCCGACCTACTCCAGCATTTTTATCACCTACTAAGATCAGTCCGACTCGCTTTACGCAAGAGTTTGTGTAGATTATACTAAAATTCATCTTTGACTGCATCTGGGTTGCAGTCCGTTGAAGCGTACGCCGACACGACAAATAAGTTTCGTCTATCTGGGGGGGGGGGGTCTGTTTACTTTGCACGAACGTGACTATTCACAACCTACAGTCGACTGGGAACCAGTCCAAGAGCTCGGGCTCAGAGTCCTCAGAGAGGTGTAAGAGAAACTTTATTGATGCGTTTGATGGGGGACGTCTGTTGGATAATGGAGCTAGAATCTTGGATACAACACACATCGATAGCTGGGGTCTCGAGCGTACGAGCTAAACGGGCCTCTTGTCCTATACGCATCAGAGTACGCACATTGAATGTAGCTAGTCTGAATGGGCCCCGATGGTGAAGATGGACTTTAGCTGATGGAGGATTCGGAGAGACTCGGACGGTAGTCGAGGTAGGACACGAGAGAACAGCGGCAGAGTTTCCATCTGAGGAGCTGCTGTTAACACGATCGTCTGAAGAACCCGAGATGAAAGGGATGAAGGTGGGGTAGGGGAGGGCTGGGGTATATATATATATATACATATATATATATTTCACACCCGTTTGAGGCTAGACTGTGTGCCAAGCAAATCACAGTGTAATAATCTTTATATAAAAAGAAAAACGTTCCATGATTGATATGTGTGCTGAATACTATCAGGTTTCCCAGGCCAAGGCAGATGAGTTTTCTTGAGGAATCCACAACCGGTTCCTTCGGCTAGCCAAAGCCTGATCCGCAGGGCAGCGAAGCGGTGCGTGAAAATCGCGTTCCATTGGGAGCCAGTGTCCAGTTCATCGGATCATACGCCCTTCGGACAGGGTCAAACGTCCAAGGTGCTCAATGCACCTCGATGCCCAAATGAGCCGGTGACCATTACCACAACCGGAAAGGTGTGATTGTGGATCGTACGCCTCCTCTTGATTGGTTTGTAATCAGGGATTTTGGCCAATTCCCCTAGGTGAACTACCAGTGGTCCACCAACCCGGATGTCGGCTTTTCGTCCTCTCGCTTTAGTGCAAACCACCGCAACGAGAAGGCAGTTAGTCGGGCTTCCTCAGCAGAGGCTTGGTCGTATGGGAGCATTTCGCGAGGTGCGAGGGCAGGGGACTGGCCGCAAACCTAAGCACACCCCCACCCATATCCTACCAGAAATATTCCAAGGGTATTGTTCAACGTCCTTTGATCACCGTCGAGGCATTTTAAATTCAGACCTTAACGAGTATAAGCGATGACACAAGCTTCATTTCCCTGACCTGAACTTCTGATTGCCCGTGCATAGTGGCAAGGCTGAGTACCTGAGACAATAAGGTCGGTTTACCTAGATACCCATTCATGTCCATACTGAAATTGGACGAACTTGATTGACCCCACTGCTAGTGCTCCATGGACTAGGTAACTCTGTGAATAATATCATAAGGAAACTCGCCTGCGACCCTTTTCTTCCTTGTTTCGAAATCCCGCACGCTATTTTGCAACGTTGAAATTCCCCCTTACCTTCGTGTTACCCCGACTCGTTCGAAGTCTGTCCACTTTTGGACAGCTAATTTCCTTTCCATTGCTTAAAAGTTGCATAACTACCAGTGTCACACATGCACCTCTGCATCGTTGATCTTAGGATGAGCTGAAATTGTTCTCTAGACCCTTCCGATTATTGAAAATAATATTTACCCATTGAGGTTGATTGATTGGAAAAGACGCAGAAGTGTCTGTGTTGTTCTAGTAACAAT